GATTTTATAGAGCAGTCTTCCCCAACCTACTACCCTCCAAATGTGCTAGAAGAATTTCCTAAATTTCCAAGTAACGGCCATGATATAATGTTACCAGTCTGCTAATTATTGCATTTCATGAAGTCCTTTTCTTGGTTATGTTCTTTCATAGCTGCCAATAACTGTACTCTGGATTATATTCTGTAGCATTGTATATTATGTAGACTCCCATGGTCTATATTATATACAGTGTTATGTAGACTCCCATAGTCTACATAATATATATTATCTGTCCATAGTCATTTTAAAGTTGAGGGAGTATATGTAATGGATTAATTACCACTACTTATCTTTAGTACATGCAGTGTGTTCCTCTGTCCATTTCCATAGAAAGCTATTTAATTAAGAACATACCTGTATGTGTTTTACCCAGTGTTGATGTCATGTCTGAGAGAAGAACAAGGAGACCCACAAGAAGAATGACACTTGGTATCTTCATGGTAACAGCAGATCTTAAATCTAATCATTTTCTAGTGTTAAACTGGCATTTATATTAGAACTATGCTAGGAAAAGATAATATCTTCTCCCACTCTCATACCTAGCATTTTCTCTATGTGAAGTTGGACTGACCTGTATTTTCAGTTTGCTTGTACATCGCAGATGATTGCTTTAACTTATTTTCATTTCTATACTGGAAGGTGTCTGGAATCCCACTGATAATTTCATTTATTACATGCACTCATTTAAGAACTGCAAATTTGATTGGATCAGCTTCAAATATGAACTTGTTTAGTTGCAGAAGTAATAAGAAAACAAAGCCAAAGGGGATGAAATAAAATTAAAACTGCATATCAGTTCAATGCAATATAGAGGCCAGGCAGGGTTAAACACAAAACTCCATACTAGAGAAAAAGCAACAAGCAAAATCATACTCTACATATAGTTCAGGGGATCAAGTATCAGAGACTCAAAATGAATGCTTAGAACAACCAAGTATGTGTATTCACTATAGAAGGAATGAATGAATTCACTACAGAAGCAAAGTTATTTTTGGTGAAGATGATTATGGATGATAATCTACCACAATGGTCGAGTGGGAGTTGATAGAAAGATTTAAAAATTAAATTTAAAAAATCCACAGTCTAGGACTGAAAGATTGACCGGACCAAAGTAACCCAGTTGGTTTCTATGCCTAAGGGAGAACTAGAACTTGGGTCTTCCTGTTCTGATCTAGCATCTTGATCACAGCACCTCACCAACTGTCCACCAGATGGGTATGTCAGTTCATAAATGCCATTCCAGTACCGACATACAAAATATAGGATTTAAAAGGCATAATTCCTAAAGTTTAGCCCAGTGCTTTCCAGCTAAGAATCACGATTATCTGGAAAAGAATTTCTCTCCATATCTTTGTCTTTTGTCTTTTGTTTTTTATTAGATTTATATACCGCCCTACTCCCGAAGGACTCAGGGCGGTGAACAGGCACAAAATAAAATACATAAATACAAAAGTTAAAAGATATAATTAAAACCAGATTAAATAATTTAGCCCAAGACAATTAAAAATCCCAAAATTTAAAACAAATTAAAATTTCGATGTAAAAGAACTTTAAAATAGGGGAGAAAATTAGGCCAGGCCGGCTTGCTGGAATAGGAGAATCTTAAGAGCATATATAAATAAGACTCCTTACTTCTGAGAAACATTATACTTAATAATAAGATATTTTGCTCAGCCATGTATTTCTTTGTTTATTCTTACACACATGAACTTCCTGCTCTCTTCAAACTTCTGTGTCTTCAAAACCAGGTTCAGAGTTCTGTGGATTAGATACAGTACTTCCTTATCCTGAAATTGGCAGAAAACTATATTGGCATGAAGTGCCATCTCCATTTCTAATCCACAGTCTGTCTTCACGGCTTTTTAAAAACTCAATACAAGTATCCCAGGACAGGATGACAAGGCAAATTGATTCTATACTCCTTGAGACAGTCTTTGAATAATGTCAGAACAAAGGGGAAAATATTGCTTTAATACTGACGTAGCTATAGTTTCACTCATAGGCTGAGGATGAGATGAAGGCAATGGCCTGGACATATGATGTTTGCCAGGGCATGTTTGTGCCTTAGTGAGGAGCAAAAGGGGAAGGTTCAGAATTCTAATTCCATCTACTGTAGGTAAAGGTTCCCCTTGCACATATGTGCTAGTTGTTCCTGACTCTAGGGGGTGGTGCTCATCTCTGTTTCAAAGCCGAAGAGCCAGTGCTGTCCGAAGACATCTCCATGGTCATGTGGCCGGCATGACTAAATGCCAAAAGCACACAGAGTGCTGTTACCTTCCCACCAAAGGTGGTCCCTATTTTTCTACTTGCATTTTTTACGTGCTTTTGAACTGCTAGGTTGGCAGAAGCTGGGACAAGTAACAGGAGCTCACCCTGTTATGCGGCACTAGGGATTCAAACCGCTGAACTGCCGACCTTTTGATCGAAAGTTGGAGTCTGATGGGCACCCAACTTTATATATTTTCTACATATTTTGATGCTGTCAATTTGGAATTTTGTCTTTTTGAGAGGCTTGCTTTTTATTAATGCTGGATTGTTGTATGTTGTATGTATAAGAAACAGAGCTTGGGAGGGCCACATTTTCTCTGGCAGACGGTTGCAAGAGGCTGTTGCAGGCAAAAACAGAGCTCAGGAGCCCGTTTTCTCTGGCAGAGCGCTTGGGCCACCATAGGTGCCCCTGACACGAGTGATGTGGAGCTGGCCACGCCCACCCTGGCCACGCCCACTCCGGCCCCCTGAGGTCAAACACAACCCTGATGCGGCCCTCAATGAAATTGAGTTTGACACTACTGCTCTAATGCAAGTGTCAAGTTGAGTCAGTTTGTTTTGCTGTGCAACATTGCTTCAACTGAAAACTCTGCTGTGCAGCTACATGTATGCACAGAAGATTAGCTAAAGCACACCAAGCATTTACTTTAACATGGTGAAATAGTTTCATTGTATTGTTTTGACAAAAATTGCCACTTTATTTTGTGCAACTGGATCCTCAGCCTGGGAAGTAGATACTGTTTGTGTATTAAGCAACGATTTGTTACTGTTAGACTGAAAAAATATAAATAAGTGCTTTCTAATTGTCTTTTCCAAGAAACTGGATGCTATTTGCAGAAAAGTTCAACTATTATGTATATGGTAACACCCCCCCCCTCCCCACAAGTATAGAAATCAATACAGGGACGTTTGTGTTATATGCCTTTAAGCATATTCTCTTTCTTTCTTTGTGTTTTTTAAAATCAAATTTGTATAAATGTTTCAAATTATTCAGTTCTGGGGGATGAAGACAACCTGAATTGAAATAATAAACAAATAACAGGCTCAAATTCACCCAGATGGCTTTATACTTAAGGGAGAATGAGAATTTAGATTTCTCTCTCTTAGTCTGGTTTCTTTAATTGCTACAGCAAACTGATTCATAGTAATGAATACCTATGGTGAATTATAGGCAGATAATTTGAGTGGTCTTTGGAGAAGGGGAAGAGATAATAGAAAGGAACACTGGTGCTTTTGAAGGGACTGATTTGAAGTAGCTATGAAGAACAGTATCTAGGGCAGGGGTGTCAAACTGATGGCCCACGGGCCGCATGCGTCACATGCAAGTCATGCGCACCCCAACTCCATGAAGGGAAAAAAGCGTTGTGAAACGTCACGTGACAACAACGTGATGCCGTGGGTTTGACACTGATGATCTAGAGAGAAGTTTAATATAGTCCTTAAACCAGTCAGGTAGGTAAGAATCAGTGGTGGGTTGCTCCCGGTATTGTCCGGTTCTTGCGAAGCGGTAGTAAAAGTGGTGAGAGGCTCCGCCCAACCCCCCAGGCATCATAATGGATGATCTACGCTTGCGCAGAAGCTTCTGCGCATGTGCAGAAGCATGCATGCATGCTCCCATTGCAAACCAGTAGTAAATGTAAATAGAACCTACCCCTGGTAAGAATCTTATGGCCCCTAAAGGTGTAGGATGGGAAAAGCAGGATGGGCAAATACTTACACTAAAATCTTTCTCATCTAAAGTGCTATGATTGAGATTGTGCTATGATTGAGACCACTGACGGTATGATTTGTGGGCAGTTCCTGAGTCAGTTGACTTTAAAAAATAATCTCCCCACCTTATGTCAGATTTGGGGATGCTGTCAAATCAGAGCATAGATATTTCGTGGAAATATCAAGGCCAAATATCTACTGTCATCTTTAAAGCATCTAAGCTATAGACCAATTCATCCCTACATTACAACTATACTACACTACTACAAATTTGCTCACACCTGAAGAGCAGATATGCAAAGCTTTTTCTCAGACTGTAGCAGCTAACTGGCTGTCATAATCAATAATGCCTAGATAAATAGAAAACTAATTTTATCTGATTGAAATGGTAATATTTATTTCTATGTTGTTTTTCCAACAGCTCTTGTATTGAAAAAGATAATAAAGGACAGAAGTTGATTGCTACCAGCAAAAATATGTTTAAATCTGTAGGCACAAATGCTCCTTTTCATCCTTTTATTTTTGTATACTTCTTCTGATGTATACCTTGGGAAATAAGGGTGGAAGTAACTGTTAGAAAATCAGTTTCTACAGCACTGTTTTGGATGTAATCAAAGGTTTCCCACTTACAGAGAAATGTTTCTTATTTACGGCACACATCAAGCAATCATATATCATTCTTAGTATTCTTAGTATTCCTATAATGTTGCAGAAAGTGAAGGGAAGATTATTTGGCATACAGTGTAAATGCCATAAATGAATGATGTTCATACTTTTTACATTTATTGCAACAGTCCCAAATTCTGAAGCAATGGGGCATCCATATATCCTCACAAGAAGGAAGAGCGTCATAGCTGCTGGATTAAATTGTTTATTGTAAATAATAATATAATTCTAACTGCATCCAAATATTCAGTTTAAACCAGGGTAGATTCAAACCTTCTTTTGCACCACCACCCCAATCTCTTCCTACAAAAGATGTTTCATTCAACAGTTAGAGGCACTAGAATGAAAACAATTTTGTCTAAATTTGATAAAAATTCTAGAAACATAGATTATCGATTTCATTTATTTCAATAATGCAGCAATAGAATGTTACTCTAGAAATGTATTTGACACAGTATGTTTATATATGTGGAAGCTGAAGATGGAAATGATCAATGATATCATATAGCTGGAGACCCATCCTTAAAACTTCTTCCTGGCTATAGACTTGTAGAATAAGTAATTTCTAAAATTCTTGATTAATAAATCATTCAAAAAGAATCTTTCTCAGCTTAATGTTGAGGTCTGTTGTTGATGCTTGTGTCCATCAATGAAGCAAGAAGTTAGACTAAAAAAAAAAAGAGAGAGAGAGAGAAAGATCTAGTACAATAAATGTTATGTTTATAAATAACCGCTATAAACGGCAGGCATTTATATTCAGTACTGAGAGTAAGAGGATGTTAAACTGCCTTCAAATGCCTACTTAGATTATGTTCTGAACAAGGTTTGAGAGCCCACTAAGCACAATAAGCTGGAATTCTATACTTGAAGAAGTTCACATTTAATTTCATGATCAGAAAGTGCTATCCTTTACTATATTTGTAACAATGTAGATTTGCAATGCAATATTTACAAATAATTAAAACAATGCATTGTTCTAAAGCAAAAAGAAAGAAGAATTATATTATTAAGATTCTGTCTTCCTTTATTCCATTTGGAACTATACTGTTTAAACCAAGCCAACACCAGTTGAAGGAAATGATATCTTTCCTTCCTGATTAAACACACTGGGGATTAACTGATGTTTTATTTGAGAATTTGGGAGCTATAGTTCAATACATGAATTGGGGAAGCTGTTATTCAGTCACAAGCCATAGATATAATCTTCACTAGATATTCCAAATAGGTCTGATATAAAGAACAATTAGATTGCTATCATGGCTAATGTTGGTTTTTGACAACAAATATTATTGGCTTCAGGAAATAATGGCAACACTAATGCAATCAGTAAAGGAAGAAAAGACCCTTTCTTGCATTAGTAAGAATTCGACCTTTCCTTACCATTGAGAAGGGAAAAAAATCCTACTGTTTCTTCCATTAAGAAGGCCATCCAGATGCCTTCCATCTTCAGAATGCTTTGAGATTCTGAATCTAGAACCTTCTTGAGCTGATCACCCATTAGGGTTAGCCTGTCCCTCCTTAACACAATAAAAGAAGTTTATGGACTATAGTACCTGGTGGGATGCATGTTCTTCCACATGTCCCTTCACAGCATTTTTCCCTTCCTTCACATTGGACATCATGATCACATTTATTAGGAGGATTAGCCATCATACATCTTATTTTAACATATGGGCAACGTCCAGGTTTGGCTATAACAGAGAAAACATACAATGAAAAACAAATGCATCGTTTTTATGATCTTAGCAGGCCAAGTGCGGATGTACAACTTTTTCCCCTTAACGTAGTGTTTCTCAATCTCTGCCACTTTAAAATGTGTGGACAACAACTCCCAGATTTCCTCAGTCAGCTCTGGGTAATTCCCAGAATTAGGAGAATTGAAGGGTATATATCTTAAAAGTAGCTAAAATTGAGGAGCACTGCTTTAAAGGGTTTAAAGATGGGGGCGGGGGAAGGGAGTAGCCTGCAAATAATATAGTTTGTACATCTGTATAATATATCAAGCAAAACAGAGAGTGACCAAGTATTGAATTTTTTCACATCCTATTATATCATCTCTGATTTTTGGCTTTAGAAAAAATAATAATTAAAAAAAATGAAATTAAAAAAATTAAAAAATATATATAGTATGGCAAAATCCTTTTTTTCCATACTATATATTATAACAGCACTGAGTAATATAGAATGCATTGCAGTGGTGAAATACAAATTTTTTTACTACCGGTTCTGTGGGCATGGCTTGGTGGGCGTGGTGTGGCTTGGTGGGCGTGACTTGGTGGGCGTGGCAGGGGAAGGATACTGCAAAATCTCCATTCCCACCCCACTCCAGGGGAAGGATACTGCAAAATCCCCATTCCCTCCCCACTCCTGGGGAAAGGATATTGCAAAATCCCCATTCCTACTCCTCTCTGGGGCCAGCCAGAGATGGTATTTGCCGGTTCTCTGAACTACTCAAAATTACCACTGCCAGTTCTCCGAACTGCTCAAAATTTTCACTACCGGTTCTCCAGAACCTGTCAGAACCTGCTGGATTTCACCTGCGGTGCATTGCCAGATTGAAATTTTAATAATGTCTGACTTTCCCCCCCAAATCAGTAGAGTTAGATGGAGTTGCAGTCTAATAGTCTCTGTGAGGCCACCTACCTGGGCTCTTTCTGGCACAGGATTTACATTCAGATGTTTTGAGTTCATCTTGAACTTTAATAACTCTAACAATGTAATAAATCTAATAAATACAGTAAATATTCAAAGGTGATACCTATTGGGTATTGGCAAATTTTGGAACAATACCGATAACAGCACTTTAAGATTCCATCGCAGTCATAGTCAATATTGCACTCATGTTTTCCTGGTTTAAGGCAACGACTTAAAGGTGAGGGGCAAGTCCCAACTTTGTCTGAAAAAAACCCACCCAAAATGTTAATGTTAATACTCGGGTTCTGTACCTGATAGCAATGTTTTGAGATTAAATGAAACAGTTGCCTGTTAGATGGATCGGTAGACAGAAAAACAAATGAAATGGAGAGATCAGAAGGATCACATCTTTACATTTTATTACAAGTTTAGTTTGTGATACAGTGCAACTTGATTTTGGGGGAACAACTTTAAGTGCTTGCACTTTATGCTGTTGATTGAAAGATGAAATTTTGCTATTAAAGGAAGGCAAAACAGAAACAAGAAAGGAGTCTGTCATCTAAAACTAAATATTGTGACTTTGCCTCTTCCATTATTTATTAATTGTTCTCATAAATGTATTCATTTCCCACAATGGAGCACAGCATTAATCAGTATGTGACCTTCACCAGCTGTCTGCTATGTTTTTAACCATAGAATTAACATTTTATTAGTATATGTGCTGTTGAAGCAAGCACAAGATTGTATTAAGAACAGCATGATGGAAGAAGCAGTCATAACCAAACTTTATATTTGGTCAAACATCATCTACACAACTCATAAGCCAGGCTCCTGTTAAATATCTACATCCACTAGGAAAGGTCTTCTGCTGACATGCAAGGAAGTTGGTACTCAGATATGCTTCTCAATACCAGGCCAATCAATTGATGCTCATCTTTTTTGGTGAATGGTCTATAAGGGCCTGGATGAGGAAGAACAGGTTTCCACTCAACCCAGGCAAGATTGATTACTGTGGGCATTAGTCCCTCCTCCCCCAAGGTGGTCACAGCTGCCACCTATTCCTTAGACAGGAGTCATGAGTCTTGGAGAACCTCCAAATTGTGTATTGGTTATGTTTTTGGTAGTTAGTTTGGGCTGGCCAGTGCTAAAGATATCAAATCTCCAGATCTCTTTTGGAGGAGAGCAGCCCCTTGCGGAGTAGATTGTAGTAGTCTACTTGGGAATTGATCAAGGAATAAGTGCCTCCTGGTCTCTCTTGCAATCTGTATGCCAATTTTTTCCTTTCTAGATCAGGAGGCGCTGATCACAGTCACTTATTCCTGCCCTTTGAAAAGCATCTGGATCCAGGTGAAGTAGCATGGTCCGTTATGGGAATATCCCACTATATCCTGGTATCTCTACTCTACTTGCACAGGCTTCCAGTGTGCTTCCAAGTGCAATCCAAGACCATGGGATCAGATTATTTGTGGCAAGATTTTGTTTTGATTTTTTTTTTAACCTGGTCCACTAGGCTCAACAAGAAGCATGTTTCATGTCCTATTTATTAGGGAATGTCACCTGAAGGCAGTAGGAAATGGACCTTTTCTGTTGTAGCACTTGCCCTCTGGAATACAATAGTCCCTAAGATTTGGTTGGCCCCAACTCTGCTAGTATTTCAGAAAGTCTTAAAACACAGCTGTTTTCTCAGGCATGGGAATCAGGAGGTTAAGGATGCCCATGGGAAAATTGTTATGGATGTAACTGTTGTCTTTTTGGCTATCATTGTATATGACAACGATTATGTCTTTTAAAACTTCTTTTAATTCTATCAGGCACCTAGAATCACTATTTGCAAGATGATTGATCATAGAAATGGAATTTAAATAAATAAACACAATCACAGGTCAATAAGACCTTAGTTTGTAGAGGAGCCATAGAAAGTTGAATTACAGTTGGGAGAGGAGAAAAGTGGAATGGAATACAATGGAATTGGAGTGCTAGAATGAAATATTGGAAAATTGGAAATGGGTCCAGGTTAGGGCTGCCAAATGTCAAAGCATCAAAAATTCCTCCTTTGGGTCCTCATGTTCTCTATCTGGCCGGCATAGGCTTAAAAATCAAATATCATCCTTTTTTTAAGCATCTAACAAGGCATTTCTTCTTGAGCAGTTTTTCTCCATGAGGTAGCGCCTCCCTAATAAGTGCTAATTGCAAGTTAACCAGCTTTGCTTGTGACCTTAATTAGTTGATTAGTACCTTCCCATTGGCTTGCTGCCTCAAATGACAAGGCCTTAATGTTATACCCTTAAGGGTTTTGCCTTTAACTGGTTCTACCACATTCCTAAGACTAAAAATATCAGTTTTTTTGGTTTCTCACTATAATTTTTGCTGCAGATACCAAGGAAGTTAAATAATTAGTATGTCCTCCTTTCCAGTTGCTCATTTCCTCCTTTGCCTGTTCAGCTACCTGGCAACTCTATCTTAGGCAGAATAAATAATTTCTAGATTATTTATGCTCGCTATGGGAGACTGTGTCCTTTTAACCCAACCCTTAAAAATGTTCCCTAACCAGAAAAGGTATTTAGAAAAAGTCCTAACTGAGCAAAGGATACTCCAAAAAGAATCCAAACATATCAATGGTAATGGAATTCTGGATAAAATGGGACGTACAAAGGGATATCTTAGAGAAGGGCATCATAGACTGACTGAAACTGAGTACTCCCTACTACAACTTTGTTATGAAGTGAAATTTAAGTAGAAAACCAATAACTAAATTTAGTTTCTTTAGAACTTACCTTTTGGAGGCATGCTAGAAGCAGATGGCAACTGTGTACAAAGGAATCCCACAAGGAGGAAAGCACATGTGATCTTCATGATGTATTCAGAAATTTGGTCCAAATGTTTAAAACTGAACCAGGTTTATATTTAAGTTTCTAAAGGGGAGGGATTGATTCATAAAAGGAAAGAATCATACTTCATCTTTGTCAAAAAGGCATCCTTCAATCTCTTATTTTTACTTCACCTATATCCCATTTATTTTTGAAGAATTGATATCTGACCTATGACATAAATCAGTCCAAAATATGGCCAGTACCCTATTATTAAGTAATGTTAATTATGGGTTTGAGAACAGGAATCAACTGCTTTTTAGATACCTGGCCTTTGACAATCACTGCATTGTCAAAATGACTCAGCAATTAGTGGTTATTCCAAGTTAGACCAAGAATAGCATAGATGATAATATCTCCTGTAGAAAGATCTTGGCTTATCCTTCGACATACTTCAGAACCTTGCAAAATCAGAACACCAAATATATGCACGAAACAGAATGATTTCATATGGCTATATGCGTTTCATTTATTTTATTCATTAATTTTGAGATTTGTCCTAACATTTTTTCTAAAGTACATTACCCTATTAAGATTGTGTAGCATGTAGATAAATAAACTGGATGGAAAAGTTTTCTTCAAATGAACCAAACTAAGCATATGTTAATTTGCTTGGTAGAAAAATTATTTTAGCTATGTGGCTACAATGAATTTTATTTGTTTGCATTATTTATATTTTAACTGAGTCAGAATCATAGAATTGGAAAGGGCTTTCTAGACTGCTGAGTACAATCTATAGTCCAACACAGTAATTCAAATTAATTTTTGTCCTTTCTTTTGACAAAAAATAATAACAGTAGTTAAAAACAGCCCCTTCCCAAAACCAGAATAACTTAACTCCTTAGTTAGTACAATAATTCAATTTAAATTATCCTCTACATTGGCTACCCAACCTTTCCTTTAAATTATCTAGCTTCTCCATTTGTAATTTGTTAGAAATTTTCTTGATGGTCAAGCAGAATTTGCTTTTCTATGACTTAAAATGATTTTTTATGCTGGTTCTGTCTTTGAAGATCAACCATTTGCAGTCAAGAAATAAGCAGTCAAAAACACACCATAGATTAGCACTCAGTAAAGCAGTCATGAAGGCCTTGGAAAAAAATAGTCAAATTCCATGATCGGTCTATACCCTCAAAGATCGGAATCATGCAAATCATGCATTCCTTGTGATACTCTATGGAAGTGAAAGTTGGACTTTAAAGGATAAGGTATTGATGCTTTTGGTCTTTGGATTGGAGAAGATTCCTGAGAATATCATGGATAGTCAAGAAAACAAACAAATGATCATTGAATAAATCAATGATTCCAGAGTTCTCAGTTGAGGCCCAATGACCAGGCTCATTTGGATGAATTATAAAAGATCTAGCACTTTGGAAAATGCTCCAATGTCAGGAAAGGTGGAAGGAAAGAGAAGAAAAGGATGACCAGCAACAAGCAACAGCAATTACAGTGGCAATGGAGGCACTGTTAGAAGATCTGAATGAACAGGTTAGGAATAGATACTGATAAGAAAATGTAGATATATGGTCACTAGGAGTTGAAAATCACTTGATGGCACATAACCAAAAGTGCTGTAAAGTAATAGAGAACAGTCTTGATCTTCTACGTATGTGACATTCCTTTAAGCATTTTCAAATGCCCTTGTCTTTGTGTCTAACCACGTATTATTCTTCTTTATACTTGTTCTGACCATAGTTACACATAGTTAAGTGTAATGTTATTGGTTCCACATCTCTGCCTAAAAACTATGTTTACCAGAGAACAATAGTTTATTCCCTCCTATATTTACTGCCTGCTTCATCAGGTGTGAAGATAAGATCATAAGCAGTTCAACCAGAAGTTCCATGAGGTTAGTAACAGGACATTTATAATGAGACTAAAGCTCTTGAATAATAGTGTCAAAGTTTATCCAATGATCACTTCCTGCTTTTAAAAGGCATAACAATATTTAAATGAATGCTTAATAATCCTGCTAGGTGTTCTTGAAAACACTGCAACTCAAACTTAATCAGCAACATTTTTTTCCTAGAGAGGGTAAAGAAGAACCCATATATTTAGTGTTTCAACAAGCAAGGAAGAATCATTAGAGTCAAATAAAATGATTTAGAGATCAGAATCAATCCTACACCTATGTCATAAAACATAATTGTCTTATGAAGTATTATTAAAGTCAAGCTTAATTTCATTGTAAGTAGCAACTAAATTGGCACATGGTTACAAAATGTTATGACTAGTTCTATGGTTATGAGTCCACTTATATAGTCAAGCATTTTTCCTTTCTTTCTCTTAACCTCACACACTGTTCAGTGAGGCTTCTTTCTCTGTTTTCCCTTAGGCACCAAATAGAGAGCAGCATGAATCTTTCAGAAAAGTTATGAGCACACAATAAGCCAAAGGCTACAAAGCTTTATTGCAAAAGAATGTTTTTTGCCCTCATCTCATTCTTCCCTTCATTCACCAAGCTCTTGTGACTCAGACTTGACCAACGGTCTATCTCAAAAACAGACAGAGCAGCTCCATTAAAATTCCTTTAAGTCTTTTACAGTGTTGCTATTTGCTGGGCTAATTGCTTGGCACAATCTTGATTTTCATGGTGTTGCTTTAAAGCCAGCATCCTCACTGTTCTGGGATCTGTTTTTCTAATCTCAGGACGTTGGTTATGCCACCTATCTGATACTCACTTCCAGATAATGAGTTCTTGAGTTCTTTATAGACATGAGCTCTAACAGTTGTGTGACTCTAACTTCTTTTAAATTTCACATTTGTTGATGCATTAAACTTCATATGCTGGAATATGTGCATGTGTATTAGAGTCACCCTTCATTTACATGTCATTCCAAACTATCCCGGTGGCAGCACTGACAACATCAGTTTAGCTTCTTTTTCTCTGGGAAAAGTAGAGTTTCCCAGTTTCAACATGTTATGATTTATGGCACCATGTCAACTGAAGAATTCTGGGAGTTGAAGTCCACACATTTTAAAGTCGCCAAGTTTGAAAAACACTGCTTTGTATGTACGTACTGTTGTGGTCTGCCAGCAGCCTGCGGAGCTGGCAGTGGAGTCAGACAGTGATGAGGCTGAGGAAGAACATGGGCCAGTCCTGGAGGCTGAGGAAGGCCCGGATGAGGGCTCTGCATCAGAGGCAGAGATGTGGCCAGGGCCATCAGGGAGTGAGGTGCGGACTCCAGAGCCTCCAGAGACTGATAAGGGTGAGGCAAAGGAACAGCAGGATCCTGTTCCTAATGCATGCATGAGAAGAGCTGCCAGAAGGCAAGAGCAGCTCAAGCAAAGAGGACAACTCAGGAGTAGGGCCAAGAGATGATTGGCCCCTCCCATAAGGCTTAAAGCAGACCAGCAACGATGTTTGGCCTTTGCTGGAAAACAACGTTGGTAGCTTCATCTTCTTCTTCGTCTACGTCTTGTATTCATTGTTGTATCTGTGACTTCTGAACGTTTGCCAAGAACGGGCTTTGGCAGTTTGCCTAATTGGACCAAGATTTGCGATACGACTGAGGAATTTGTGTTGGGAGGAATTTGCTTTAATTTAGTTGAATGACGCTGGGAATGAATGGAAATTCTCAGCTGTTCGAATAAAGTTTGTTTGTTTTTTTCACTGACTGATTTTCCTACTACTTACTTGGGCCTGGGTCACAACACATACACTAGTTGGTAATCATTTTATTTCTAATAGAGAATTGGTTAAAGAGAACTTTATTGGTCAATAATTCCATCTTGATAGACCCAGAAGTTTGGGATAAAAAGCAAAATAATATTTTGGCCAGTTATTGATCATTGTGTATCTATAAATCATGGAGGTAACCTAGGCTGAATCTAATGATTGCTCGTCTCATGTGATCCCTGCAAAGACCCATTAGCTTCTTCAACATATACAGCCCAGATCAGTTTAGGACAAGCTGATCTGAGCATTTATCTCTCAATTGACATGCTTGTTACCTTGGTCACCAAGGAAGAACATATAGCCATGGCCGGGTTATTAGATCTTTTATGTTATCATCACTGCCCTCTGTAATGTTTTCCCACTCTTAAGATAAAACACCCTATTTGTGGCACTTTTGACTACTGTAGTAGATGGATCTCCTTGTTGTAACTTTCTAGTGAAATTTAATGCTGTTTTAACATTTTTAAAAAATATACGAGATGCTTTTCTTGGTAATTTTTTATATTGTTGTTTTATTTTGCCTCGTATTTTAAATTCTTGTGGTTTGCAATAGATATGGGTCAATGAATATATTCATGGTGGATGTGTTATGTATGTATGCATATGCATAGGTGTTTATTTATTTCATTCCTATCTCACTTTTCCTCTGGTAGTTCAAACATGTACATTATAATTTCTTTCTTCACAACAGCCTTTTGAAGTAGATTAGCCTGTTAGCATTAAGTAAACATCACTAGTCCACCTACAGCATGTTGGCTGTCTTTTGAAGATGCCAATCAACAAATAATCTAAATGGATTTTCCTTCTGCAGATGAGTTGAATATTTGGCTGTTGACTCTTCACCGCAAGAATGTGCGTGGGTGAAGCACTGTTGATGTTAGGTATCCTTCAGAGTAGCAGGTCATTATCCTAAAAGGAAAAAACAAGGCATCTGTTGAATTAAAGGCTATCATTACACTCGAGAAATATAGGTTGGAAACTAGTCTAAAGTGATCGGGTGGGTTATGCAGTTTGCAAACTCTGTCTGAAAGGTATGGTTTTATTTCTTTTTTAATTTTTTTAAATTTATCCTGTTTCCCTGAAAATAAGACATCCCCTGATAATAAACCCAATCGGGCTTTTGAGTGCATGCACTAAAACAAGCCTCCCCCCCGAAAATAAGCCCTCCCCAAAAGTATTTAAACAGAGCTGGAAATCAGGTAAGATGACAAGAGGAGAACCATCTTGCTCCAGGTGCCCCCAAATAATAAGACCTCCCCGAAAATAAAGCCAAGGGCTTATTTCGGGGTTCAAAAAAAATGTAAGACAGGGTCTTATTTTTGGGGAAACACGGTATTTATAAAACAACACAATATGACAAACACAAAACATATATTCCCTTTTTATAACAGTTTCGTAACGGTAATCTTCTATTGTTTACATTTCCCCCTAATTCTCCTTATAATATATATATCTTTCCTGTCCCATTATCCCTTAGTACTCTATAACTTCCTTCGCAAATAATATTAATTTTATGCATTATCCTACAAGCACTTTCCATTTGAAATTTTTTCCCAATCGTTTTTATCCACTATTCCTAATGTCCAGCCAATTGTACCATTTTTTGATAAATTTAATAACATTCAATAGCAAAAACTGTCCACAGGGAGGATATGTTTCAGGTTGCGTCTTTTAAAACTTGTCAATTTATGGGACTTAGGAGGTATGATTTTTCGATGGTTGCCCCTGCTCTTCCCCCAAACATTAGGGGCCGTTTGAGTGAGAATCCCCTTTATTTGCTGGTTACCAATTTATGCTTTACATTTTGTATTAATTGTTGTATGGTGAATTTTTTTTTGTTTTTTATGCTGTACACTACCCAGAATCCCATTGTTTATGCTGGGTGGCCTTATAAATCTTGAAAATAAATAAACAAACAAACATGCAAATAAATAAATAGTGACATAACTAAAAACTAATTCTAAAACAATAAAAAGTAAAACCCCTGCCGAAAAACAGATAGAATAGAATAGAATAGAATAACAGAGTTGGAAGGGACCTTGGAGGTCTTCTAGTCCAACCCCCTGCTTAGGCAGGAAACTCTACACCACTTCAGACAAATCGTTATCCAACATCTTCTTAAAAACTTCCAGTGTTGGGGCATTCACAACTTCTGGAGGCAAGTTGTTCCACTTATTAATTGTTCTAACTGTCAGGAAATTTCTCCTTAGTTCTAAGTTGCTTCTCTCCTTGATTATTTATTTATTTTATTATTGTATTTAGTTGATTATTGTATTTAGTTGAGGCTAAATATAGTAGAAATATAGTAGAACTACTAAAAATATTGCAAGCAAAAGAAATGAGAGATATATTTATATATATGCAAGTTTTGGTGTATTCGGGTCTTTTCCCGTGTAAGATTGAGAGTATCTTGGCGATGTTTCGACGAGGTGCCACTCGTCATCTTCAGGCTGGTGTCTTCGGCTTCGTGCTCGTGCTTCGGCTTCGTGCTTGTGCGCCTTCCTCTTTAGCCAGGTTCTTCCTACGTAAACCAAGATTTTTATGTAGTCCTAGTTAAGTGAAATCACAATCCACTAGTTTCTAGGCTTTTTTTTTCTGGCAGCCAGCAAACACTCTGCTGCCCATTGGGAGACTAAGGAGTTATATATATATAAATCCTTTGAAGAATGAAAGAATTTTGAAAGGATAAAGGATCTTTTTAGTTCTGGTTTTGACATGGACACATCCAGGTTGTTGTTTTCCTGGAAACAATATGGAAGTGATTTGCCATTGGATCTTCTAGGATGGTTTTCTAGCATCTGATCATGTCTATTCCCAAAGGTTTCTTGGTGGTATCCGATCCAAATACTAAGGAGTTCATTGCTTCTTATCCTTTTTCAGTTTATCCAAGCTCCACTAGATGCAGGCACCTCTTGAACATAGCAAAGGTATTACACAAACTCAAAGGGGACAAAACTGTGCAAGGTTGTGAGTCTACTATTGAAAAGACCTATCCATGTAGCCACTTACCATGGTTCAATATGTTTTCCAGTGAATCCAATGCTCAGATAAGATTGTATTATTGATTTTAGCAGTCCCAGTACATAAAAAATGGGTTATTCTTGTAACATCTAACAGTTCTGGAAAATATCTGAGAAGCTAGAAAACCGCAAAAGCATAAATGAAAAATTTAAATAATAACACATTTGGATTCATAGTTGGATTGTGCTTCTTGCAAAAGAATCTGGAATATATTACAACATAATAGCAATAGCACTTAGATTTATGTACTGCTCCATAATGCTTTAAAACACTCTCTGAGCAGTTTACAATGTCAGCATATTGACCCCCAACAATTTGGGTCATCATTTTACCGACCTCAGAAGGATGGAAGGCTGAGTCAAACTCAAGCCCCCTCAGGATCAAAATCCAGACGGTGGGCAGAGTTAGCCTGCAATATTACATTCTAACCACTGCACCACCAGTGTTCCTAATATGCAAGATCAATGAACAATAATGAATTGCCCTATAAGGAAAAGCTAAGACGAAGTCAGGTTAACACTGGGATCTTCTTTTTGTATTTAGTTTGGTAGTAGCCAAGCTGACATTAGCCTTAAATATGTGTCCTTCCCTGAATGTGAGAATTAATTATACATCTTTAGGTGTAGTAACATTTGAAATCATATCACTCTAAAACATGATTGGTCCAACCTTCAAATTCATTCAAAGGAACAATTCAAATTTTATTTTATTTTATTTATTTATTTATTTATTTATTTATTTTATTAGGCTTATATGCTGCCCTATCTCCAACGGACTCAGGCGGCTCACAACAATAAAAACCACAATCCATAATGCAAGTTAAAATGCCTAAATGCCTTTGGGACCACATTTTTTTCCTATCAGATATATTGTCCATGTTAAATTTCATAGTCCTGACTCTTATACTAATGGTTAGGGCTCTAAGATTTTACTGTACTTATTTAATACTCAATTTTAAATGTAAGGAATCTCATGGCCCCTTATCAAAATGAAAAGACAGATTGTAAATATTTTAAAATGTATTTCTTAATCAGAAATATATCGATTGCTTCGTTTTTGCAGTATTGCGTCTTAATCAATAACTGTGACTCTGCTGATCAAGATTATACGAATAATATGAATGTGAATTACTCATTTGTCAATACAGTCGTAAGGCAAAGATTAACATGTAATCCCAAACATCCTTGGAGTGATTATGTGCATACCAGCTATTTATGTTCATAGAAGTAATGCAGAATTCACAAGAAGCATTACTGGATCATACTGAAAATGCCACACAAATCAGAATGCCTGATAGGCCATAAACTATGATGCCCATGACAGGCTTTAGAACTATGATGTTCAAACAGCATGTCTTGTTGTCATAGTGTCAAGTTTAGGGGTGGTATTCATTTACCTTCATTACTGGTTCGCAAATGTGACCTCCGTGCATGCACAGATAATCAAAAACAGGACGTGATGATGTCTTGGGGGGGGGGGGGGGGGGCGGAGCCTCCCACTGTCACCGCTACTGGTTTTTCTGAATCGTATAGAACTGGCTGAATACCACCACTGGTAAAGCTAATAAAAAGGACTCTTCTCTACCACTAGTTATACACCATTGTATACCATTATTTCTCTTCTACTCCAGTCAGAATTGTTTGTGCATTTTGGGACAGCACTACTATCTATTTTCAGGCTCGTTTTCCTTTGTAAGAATAGTCTATGTTTTTCATGTATAGATCAATCCTAGAACCATTGGCTGTCTCATATCTTATAATACCATAATCTCAGTGCATACTGTACCATATACTGGTGGAAGGCACTCCCTCCCACATATCCCTTCACAACACTTCAGGTAGCCACTGCATTGAAAGTCATAATCACAGTCATTGGGTGGATTGAGCATCCGACATTTTTCACGAATAAATGGACAGAATCCTGGTTTCTCTACAATACAGTACAGGGGGGAAAAAGATGTGACATTGAAGACAAGCTTACATGTTAATGCTTCTTGAATTCACCTTGAGTGCTAAAACCTGTGCTAGAAGTATTCCATCTTGAAACTTTCCTCACATAAACCACAAAACCCTCAATCTGAAGGGCAAATTATTTTGGGCCCTAATTGGAGTCTCCAAAACACCTCATCAGTGAAACATATATTCATGTTGAATGCCAATTTCATAACGAAGATAATGTTATTTTGTATCCTAAATTATAATTCCCAGAATATCAGACTGGGCCATTCTAGCACTTCTGTTGTTTTGTTTTTCCCTAAAACCTAAACTGGGGAAAAGCTAATCCTTGTCAAGCCCCTACCACCAGAGGGTGGTTACAGAATAGTAACTATGCTACTTTATTTTTTTAATTACCCTGAACCCAGAATAATTAAACTTCGAATAACATACTCCACCCATCCAATGCTGTTCCCTAATCCATTAAATTATACTACATAAAGGGAATTTAATTCCTGTCAAACTGCGGGCCACAGCAGGCATGAGATGGCACATTTTGGCAGTGGAATTCAGGCATTTCTGGCAGTTAAATGCATTTTTTCAGCATATAAAAAGCTTAGTTCAACTATTTTGAAATGTTTGAAATTTCAAACATATTGGAAATACAAAACGGGTCTCAGACATATGGGCTCATCAACTGGGGTGAATCTGAAGCCACAAAAGGGATGCTAGCGGGCCACATTTTGTAGTAATCTTCTTGCTTCTATCTTCCAAAACACACCACCATGATTCCAGACCTAAGCATAATGGATTGATATTTTTCCTCAATAGGCCATCTACTGTTTTACATAAGCTATATATTGACTACTCACCATATTAGAATAAAATATCTACATCTTCAGTTGAAACAAACACAATACACTGACCTAAGTTTGGAAATATAGGTTTTGATACTTACCTCTGAAAATCCTTGTTCCAGATGCAGATGATATCTCTGACCAAAGGACAAGAAAGCCTATAAGAAGGAAGATACCAAATGTCTTCATGGTACTGTATCAGATGTTGATGCTTAAAACAGAGATAGGCTGTTATTTATATTGTTAGGACTGGATCAGATGATCATGATTGTCTTCTCCCATTTAGGTAATAATTAGCTTTTCACATCCTCATAGCTAGCCAGTGCATCTTGCACATTTAATTCCATTGTTCAGCATTTTCCATGTATGCCTTTTTCTACCACCATGGATAATAGAACAAATGGAGGCTTTCCAACTAGCTTTGGACCAGTATGGCCAGCAACAAAAAATGGTCCAAATATAGGCCTTCAGTTATTTAGCTATTGTGATCAAAATGGAGGTATGCCATATGAACATATAAAAGGAAGAAAGATTATAACATAAACTTTCCTTTAATTCAGTGCCAATCTGGATAAACCTGAACTATAATCATCATTTTATTTTGGTGAAAAAAGCAGGTATACAGAAGAAAATAATTTCTGGATTTCTGAAAATGACACAGAACATATGTGGAACAACAGGAACACATAGAATATTTTGCAGAAGACAAACAGGATGTGGTAAAGAGGCACTAGAGAATGACAACTATCACTTGGTATCCCAGTCTTGAACTTCATACCAAGGAAAAGAAGGAGGGAAATTCCTGGGGGAAGGACTAAAAAATCTGGCAGGAGTTTGCCAGAATAACAGAGCCTTAATACCCAGCAATGTAACATGAACCATTCATACAATCATACAATAGAATCAACAAGTTGAATTTCCTGTGGCTTCTTTAGGATGCAGCAGATTATGAGAAGATTGATGCCTGACTGATTCTCTGAACCCAGAACCTAGCCACATAAGACATATTCATAACAAGTTGTGGAGCCCAAATATGGACTAGAAGGGATTGTTGCTGATTTAATTTTTGATTGGGAGCCTCCCAGAGTTGGCTGAAAGATGGGCAGCTATATAAATGACAAATGAAGGCAAATATCCATGTCCCAGGATAATGTTGCAGGATCCAATCTGAGTTGGTCACTAGGACCAGAGGTTTAGTATTTCAAGCTTTCAGATTCATGTTGAAGCCCTCCTCAGTGAACTTCTCTCTCTCCAGAATGTGCTATATAAATGTTTTAAATATTGTTGTTGTTGTTAGTTGTGAAGTCGTGTCCGACCCATTGCGACCCCATGGACAATGTTCCTTCAGGCCTTCCTGTCCTCTACCATCCTCTGGAGTCCATTTAAGCTCACGCCTACTGCTTCAGTGACTCCATCCAGCCACCTCGTTCTCTGTTGTCCCCTTCTTCTTTTGCCCTCAATCTTTCCCAGCATTAGGGTCTTCTCCAGTGAGTCCTTCCTTCTCATTAGGTGGCCAAAGTATTTGAGTTTCATCTTCAGGATCTGGCCTTCTAAAGAGCAGTCAGGGTTGAGCTCGTCTAGGACTGATCAATTTGATTGCCTTGCAGTCCAAGGGACTTGCAGGAGTCTTCTCCAGCACCAGAGTTCAAAGGCCTCAATTCTTTGGCGCTCAGCCTTTCTTATGGTCCAACTTTCACAGCCATACATTGCAACTGGGAAAACCATACCCTTGACTATACACACTTTTGTTGTCAGGGTGATGTCTCTGTTTTTTAGTATGCTATGTTTTAAATAAATAATAATAAATAAATTTTGAGTGCTGAACTGTAGAATTTGAGAAATATGCCTATTTTGGAAGAGCCAGACTTTTTCAGGTTTATAGTGTAACAGCTATTCTAATATTAATATTGGAATTCCTGGTCCCAGAGGCATATCATCATTAAGAATCCTGAGAGTGAATTTCCTTAGTGCTGGCCCAACTTCTTTGGAAAAAATTACCCAGAGATAAGGGGAGCTCCATTGCTCTTGGTGCTCAGGCTGGCTGGGTTTTTGGGAAGGCCTTTGGAGATAGAATGGAAGTGGAGATGCTCCTGAGAAATTAGTGCCTGGTTAGTACCAGATGTTATAATAATGATGAGCATATTGCTGGTTTTTTGGATTGTGACTATATTATATTTCTTTTCTTTTTTTTTAACCTGATTGCTTTATAGAGGAATTGTAAGTTTCTCAGAGCAGCTTATTAAACCCCAAAACATCAATAAATAATGGGAACATTATTAGCTTCTGTTCATAAATGAGTTGCAATCTAGAAGAGTGAGACTTAGTATAGTGTTAATGTCTTGACTGAATGAAATATATTCTTTTTGACAACCTTTAATCTATATGAAGAACCAAAGCTGAAGTAGAAAGTGGTAACACTCATGGTGAATGCCACTTCTTGGAGCTGTCATATCAACTCTATGTGGAAGTAGATTTGCTGATCTGATTACTGGTGACTTTTGAAATTCAGTTTAAGTATTCATATTGTATGTAAAAGAGTTTTTTTTAAAAAAATAAAATAAATCTTGTTATGTTATGTTAATTTTATTTATATACCGCCCTTCTCCCGAAGGACTCGGGGCGGTGTACAGCCAATTTAAAAACATAAATATACAGACATCATCATTAAAAGTAATTAAAATCAATTAAGCTGTACTCACAGGAAGGAATGAAGGAAGGGAGGAAGGAATGGAGGGAGGGAGGGAGAGAGGAAAGAAGGAAAGAAGGAAAGAAGGGAAAGTTCTCTGAAATAACCAAGAATAAAACATGTAGCAAATATCTTCTTGTTTTCATCTCTTGATCAAGAAACACTTCTGAGGGTGATGAAGGGATCAGAAAGATGCTGTAAAATTATTGGAGTTTTACAAGGAGTTGCCAAACCATTTTCATCAATGGGGAAGCCTGTTAATAGATTACAAATTAGATCTTAAAATTTAACAACAACACAAAAGTAAACAAGCATCTATGTTTCTCATTACCAAACTAGTTCAAGAAGAAACATTTTGCTGGAGGCAGCATCAAGGAAACAGCCAAATGATATAATAAAGAAAAACTTCTGTCAGCCTAGGTTGGAGGAACCCTAGTTGTCAATGGATGGCTGAAGAACTTATTTTAAGTGGTAAGGACCAGCTGCTATGGAATAGAATAGAATAGAATTTTTTATTGGCCAAGTATGATTGGACACACAAGGAATTTGTCTTGGTGCATATGCTCTCAGTGTACATAAAAGAAAGACTGTATATAAAATGGGAAGATTGATGAAATATAACAATGCCAGCAAATTAGGTTTCCATGTGGTTGATCAAAGTTTCTGGTAACTAATCTGAAGCAAAGGAATCAAAGGCAGGTGAAGTGAATTGTATTCACCCAAGAACGAAAGAAAGGAAAGAATGGGGAGAAGATTAGGCTACACGGCTAAAGGGAAGCGAGCATGGAGGATATTTCCCTTTTTCATTAAGACCATGATAATATGGATACCAGTACATCCCTGAGAAGAAAGTACTACCTGAATCCTGGAGCTTCCTATTTTGGGTCCACACAACGCATTGCACAACAAGAGTAACAACATTTCTTCTTTTTTTCACAACCATAATCTGTCCGACAGTCATTAGGCAGAGGACCAGTGCACATACATCGATCGATTGGACACACTCCTGACTTCTGTTTATCTGGACCTTCTGGTAATGGCAGAGGGGAAACGGGAAAAATGTTGTAGAATTATTACATTACATTGCATTACATTATTAATATACAGTATATATTATTAATTCACCATCAGTCAATTTCAAAAGGCAGATTTATTTGGAACAGCTTATATCCGGCAACAATACTTTTAACACCATTGCGTCAATTTCCATTCCCACTTTAGCTTTTACTTTCCACATCTTCTCCCCACCTTCAGGCCCTTTTCCACTTTTTCATACTCTTTCTTGATGTTGCTCTCACTTGATGGTAAGAGCACTTAGGGTTGTGACTTCTAGGTTGAGAGAGAGTCTCCAAAGATCTAGGAACGACATCAGAGCTCTCTAACCAGATGACTGTAGTGCTAGGAACAGCTAAAATACTAATCAGAGCCTCAAACTCCCAAGCCTCTGGTAGAGAATCCAGGATTTTGGAAGACACAACCACCTGTAGGGGTAAAAAGGGAAATATATATATAAGAGCCATGGTGGTGCGGTGGGGAGAATACAATATTGTAGACTAAATCTGCTCACTTTCAGCAGTTTGATCAAGGTTGACTCAGCCTTCCATCCTTCCAAGGTCAGTAAAATGAGGACCCAGATTGTTGGGGCATTGTTGTTGTTGTTCTTCTCTGTAGAACCGCTTAGAGAGGGCTATAAACCACCATGAAGCGACATATGTCTAAGTACTATTGCTACTGCTGTGTATATGTGTATGTATCAGGGGCAGGTTCCAAATCCCTCCGCTACTGGTTTGCTCACCCGCGCACCTGAACCAGGGCGAACCGGTAGCAACCCACCAATGGTATGTATGTACATGTAATTAGCAGACAAAAAATCCTCAATGTTTTCAACCTCAAAGTTATTACCAAAGATTGTTGAAAAAAAGAGTTTAACTCATTTTCCAGGAGACTAATAGCAATAGCACTTACACTTATATATCTCTTCACAGTGCTGTACAGCCCTCTGTAAGCAGTTTACCAAGTCAGCATATTGCCCCCAACAATCTGGGTCCTCATTTTACTGAGTCAACTTTAAGATCGGAGAGTTTCGAACTGCCAAATTGCAGGCAGCTGACAGAAGTAACATGCAGTACTGCATTCTAACCACTGTTCCACCACAGCTAATGAAGAGAGGATTTAATTAGCATCTTTGTCCCACACTTTCAGAGCTACCTCAGAAAGGATTTCAATCTTTCAAATTTTCAAAATTCATAATTGGACATAAATTGTTTTAACTTCTACCCTCAAAACAATGCAATAGGGCACTGCACATCAGAACAACTAGACACAAGGACAGTTTTTTCCCTAATACCATCACTCTGCTTAACAACTAATTCCCACAACACTGTCAAATATTTTACTAAGACTGTATTACTATTATTCTTCTCTTCCTCCCTAATATCTATCTCTTCCCACTTATTACTATAACCATGTTGCTTGTATCTTTCAATTTATACTGTTTTTATTTGTTTCCTAGTATGAT